ATTGCTGAAAGGCAGCATACTGGCTCTGTGGGCTGGAAAAAATACATAGAAGCACTGAGATGCATAAAAGTCAGAGGGGTAGGCATTAAAAACATTGTTCACCTTGAGAGTCAATGACAAAACTGACTCAGGCACTAAAAGAAGCCAGTAAGGTAGTTGGATATACAACATAAAAGCCAATAACCTACAAACCACATATCTAACATTAGATTCATACCTAGAACATAAAGAATTCTCAAAACTCAAAAGTAAAATGAAACGAAGCATCCAATTAGAAGGTAAACATGAAAGTAAACATCCTATTAAAAAGTAAAAATGTCATATAGAAGCCGGGCTCGGTGGCTCAGCCTGTAATCCCACGCCTTTGGGAGGCTGAGGTGAGTGGATTGCCTGAGCCCATGGGTTCGAGACCCACCTGGGCAGTGAGACCTCATCTCTACAATAAGTCAAAAAAATCAGCCAGGCGTGGTAGCGCATGCCTGTAATTCTGGCTACTTGGAAGGCTGAGGCGGAAGGATCGCTGGAGCCCAGCAGGTCGAGGCTGCGGTGGCCGGGAGCGGCCACTGCACTCCAGTCTGGGCGGCAGAGTGAGACTCCAACTCAAAAAAAAAAAAAAAAAGTCATATAGAGAAATTTCACTGAAGGAGATACATAAATAGAAAATAGGCACACAAAAAGATATTCAACATCATTAGCCATTAAGGAAGTACAAGTTAAACTCACAATGAGATATTACTACACACTTACCAGAATGACTAAAATAAAACACAGTAACATCAAGTGCTGGCAAGTGTGTGAAGAACCTGATCACTCAAACACTACTAGTGAGAATGTAAAATGGTAGTAATTTATACAATGACAAATTAGTTTGTTAGTGTCTCAAAGAACTACACATATACTTATCATACAACCCAACAACTGTACTCCCAGTGATTTACTTCAGAGAAATGAAAATTTCTGTCCACACAAAAACTTGTATACAATGTTCACAGCAGATTTATTTGTAATATCCCAGAACTGGAAGAAATAGATGTCCCTTAATAAGTGGATGGTTCAGTGAACCATTGCATATCTATACCATAAAATGCTATTCAGTAGTAAAAGCGAATGAACTATTGATATACGTAACAACTGGAATGAATCTCAATAGCATTATGCTGGCTGTAAAAAGCCAATCTCAAAATGTTCCATACTGTATGACTTTGTTTATCCTTGTAATGACAGAATTATAGAGATGGAGAAAAGTTAGGGATGCTCAGGGGGAGGGTAGTCAGTGTGACATGATATAGCATGAGGGGTAATTTTGTGGTGACATAATAGGTCTAAATCTTGATTGTAGTAGTGGTTACACAAAGCTGTACAAGTGATAAAATGGCATAGAACTACAGACACAGACAGCACCAATATCAGTTTCCTAATTTTGGTCTTAAAGTTATGTAAGATGTAACCACTGGGAGAAACTAGGTAAAGACTACATGGGACCCCTCAGTATTATCTTTGTAGTTTTCTGTGAATCTATAATTATCTCAAAACAAAAAGGTAAAAAAATTGGATGCATCCTTTAAAGTATAACTTTGACCATAGGATTTCTTAGAACTTAAGTCAAGTAAATAGGTGGTTCTTTAATAAAAAAAAAATGACAGCCCTCTACATGAATGTTGACAGCAGCTTTATTTGCAATAGCCCCCAAAATGGAAACAACCTAAATGTCTATCAACAGGTGAATGAATAAATTGTGACATGTATAATGATGACACACTACTCAGCAGTAAAAATGAATTAATTTTGATATGTGCAAATGGATACATTTCAAAATAACGATGCTGAGTAAAAGAAATCAGGCAAAACAGAGTTTATACTGCAAGATTTATAGAAAACTCTTGAAAATATAAACTAATCTGTAGTGATAAAAGTGACATCAATTGTTGCAGGGGTTGACTGTGGGGAGAGACAGGGAGGAAGAATTAAAATGGGGCAAGAAGTAACTTTTGGGGGTGATGAATTTATTTACTATCTTGATTGTGGGGATGGTTTCACAAGTGTATACATATGTCAAAACTTGTCAAGTTATACACTTTAAATATATGTATTTAATTCTATGTTGATTATAACACAACAAGGCTTTTAAAAAGATCAGTGGTCTTCATATATACAAATAATAACCAGTTAGGACACATTGTGGAAAGGAACATTCACTTTACAATAGCCAAAATAGCTATATGTAGGAACCAACCTAAGAGATGTGCAAAATCTATGACAAAAACCATAAAACATTCCTGAAAGACACAAATGCTGACTTCAAACAAATAGAAAGACATTTATTCTTCTTGGAGAGGATAACTTAAAACTTAAAGATGTTAGTTCTTCCTAGGTTAATTTATAAACTTAAATATCTTAATAAAAATACTGACGAATGACTTCTTTTCTGGAGCTAAACAAGTTAATACTAACATTTGTATGAAAAAATAAACATTCAAGAATAGCCCACATGTCACAGAAAAAAGAAGAGCTTATAAAGGGGAAGTAGCTCTAATTTATACTAAAACATGCTACAAATCCTCTGTAATGAAAGCTGTGTGGTCTCAGCATTTGAAAAGAATTATGGACCAATGGATTAGAATGGAAAATCCTGAAATAAACTAAGTACATGTGGAAATTATGTACATGATAAAGGATAACTAAAATTACTGGGGCCCAGAGGAACTTCTTACTTAATGGTGTGGACAACTAGATAACCACGTGGAAAAATAAGATCCATAACTCAGACCATACCCAAGAATAAACTCCAAGTGAATCAGTGATCTAAATGTAAAAACTCAGAAAAATTAGAAGAAACTGTGTGAATTCTTCTATAATTAAATGTACAGGAAGCTTTTCTATTATGATTCTAGAATCAGATTCAATAAAATATTTACTGAGTTTATGACTACAATTAAAATAAAAACAAATTTGTTCATGAAAAGAAAACACCATGAGTAAAGTCAAAATCTAAATGACAACTGCAAGCAAAAAATTGAAACCAATAAAGACTAGTATCTCTAATATACTTTTTAAAAATTGAGGGGGGCAAAGACCATAAATCGGACAGAAAAATGGGCAAAAGACAAAGACAATTCACAAAATAGACATAAAAATGGCCTGTAAACATGTAGTAAAATGTGTAACTTCACTTATAAGAGAAATGCAAAGTGAAACAACACAAAATATATCTCAAAGCAACAAATTGATTAGAAATGTTAAGAATTTTCTGCTGGTGAGAATGTGAGGAAATTGGCTCTTTCAGACACTTGCTGGAAATGCAAAATGGTACAACCTTTATGGAGAGTACTTTGGCAATATCTAACAAAACTACATGTGCATTAACCCTTTGACCAGTAATCCCACTTCTAATAATTTACCTTGAAGATACCCTTCCAATAATGCAAAAATATATACGCGCAAAGTTATTTACTACAGCATTATTTGTCATAGCAAAAGTATGTTATGTACTCTTACCACACACACACATAGCAACAACAACAATAAAGGGAACAAGAGGAAACTTTGGGAGGTGATGGATATACGTTTATGCTCTTAACGGCGGTGACACTTTCGTAAGTGTATACCTATCCCCACACTCACAGAGATTTATACATTAAATATATACTGATTTTTATATGTCAGTCATTCCACAATAAAGTGGTTTTTAAAAAGAGAATATGGTTCACTGGTATAAAGTACTTTTAGAACAATAAATTTCAAATGACTACTTGCTATTCTTTTAAAGGAAAATGACAAAGTTGGGTGAAAAGTCACTAGCATTGTAAAAACCATAGTAGAATATCTAAACTTTATATTAGTTGATAAAACACAATATCAAAACCAAGTTTTGTTTCTGTTTTAAGTACTTAAGCTAGTTTTTATTAAAAACTGCATACTATAAAATACTGTTTCTATTAAAATCTGATTTTCTCATTTGCAAGGTATCTATGTAGTCAAAATAGGGCAGAATGATATATACCAAAATCATAAAACTAGAGATACTAGTGATTTTATTCATGTGTTAATACATTTTTCAATTTCTCTACAATGAACATGTATTTATTTTATAAGAATAAAATAAAATGTATAAAATAACACCAACAAGGACTAAGTAGATGCAGAAGAAAAAAAGCTGGAAGAAAAGTAAGAGGCTAACAGTGCTTTGTGATTGCCTGATGGGTTTGTAGATGATGCATTATTTTCCCTGTGCACACCAGAATCTAGCAATCATGTCTCTCTGAGTGTCTCTTCTTGAGCTGCTTCTTTGTATTTCTGGGTGCTTGTCTATCCAACAAAAGACCGAATCCCTTTTCTTTAAAACTCATCTGCATCCACTGCTCCTCTAGCATACCTGACATCACTTGTTTGGCATCTAGTGTTATCTTGTGGTGCCCAGGGCTGGATCTTGACACACTGGTTACCTCTGGTAGTGTAATTTTCAGCTGTGGGGAAGTTCTATAGAATTTTCACCCCACCTTGTGCTTCCCCATCCTGCTCTCCTTTAATAGCATGTAGTCTAGAATAGAGAGGTGAAGAAGAGTATTTTTACAGAGTGGGGATGGAAGTCCGTATGTCTCTTTTGTATGAAAAGTAAAACATTTTAGAACAATGTCAGCATCCATTAGCTTCCTCCACACTTTCTCTCTCATTAGGCATAGTGTAGGTAATGACGTTATTAATAACTTTCCAGAACAAATCCTTGCGAGAATCAAGTCCTTCCCCCTTGCCAAGATGATAAATCCTAGCTCAGGACAGTCCTGTTTCTAGAAATGGGGTCCTCAAAGACAGACCAACACACAGGGAAGTGAACCTCGCTCTCCCACCCACAGAATATTATTAGTTAGGTGCCACTTTCAGAGTTCTTCACAAAGATAATATTTAATTGATAGCAAAGAATACACTGAAGGAATGCAGGTTTTAAATATAATAAAAGGGTAGGTAAATCTGTGAAATGTATTTTAAATTGCCAACATACTTACAGTTTTTTCATTATTTTCAAAAGCTTCTCTTGCTTCTTCAAATGTGCAGACTTCTTCTTTGCACTCACGTTCAATGTTGCCCTGTCTTATTTCTTCAAAAAGTACATTAGCTCTTGGGTAGCGCTTTAAAACGGAATTGGCTTTTTCTCCCGTGAGGAAAACTAAAAAGATATATAATAATAAGTATAAAAATGTAATAAAAAACTCATATAGGAAGTTAATATACAAGATGAAAACTGCTAAATGCTCTTTAGAAAAGAGTGCCAACATCCTAAACCTCTTTCCGTGAGTCAACAATGAAGTAACACTTAGCTCTCAATCACTGCATCTGCTATCTTTCTCATCATGCGAGTATGTCCTTTCAGTAGCAGTTGCCCTGGGTAGGGTCAGTGGCATAATTAACTGTGTTATATTCAGACTTTAGCACATTCCTCCCAACCATGGGTGATTAAATATAGTAATAATGATAGCACTATTATACTCATTACTGTAAGTAGATACCCCAAGGCATTCTGCTGTTGGACAGCAGCAGCCAAATCAAAATCCAGTATTTAGACTATCAGTATTCTTTCCTCTACCTAAAAAATAAAAATAAAACTTCAATTAACCTAATAATATAAACCCAGAGAACACTTACTTGTATGAAAAGGTAACAAAACAATATTGAGATGTTAAATTTGGCCATAATTCATCCCCTAAAACCACTAATAGTAAATTGTTCCTAATGCACTTAAGTTAAATATAGCGTGACACTTTAACACATCCAATCCCGTTTCACTGTTCTTCAGAAAAGAAAATTCTGCATGAATTGTAGAGGCATTTCATATAAACATTCAAAATACATTAATAAAACCCAGTAAAATAAGTAAGGCAAAATTATATGTACACCCATGGAAAATTCTTTTTTATTTTTAAATACAAATACATTTAAGGTCAACTTCAATTAGGTTTTTCTGTAAGTGTCTTGCTTGTTTGAAGAGATAAACATAATGCCACCAGAACTTAATCTCTGCTAACAGAGAGATTGGAAAACTTCCTAGTCTTATAGAATCCTAACATTAGATAAGGTACATTACAGATCTTTCAAAATGCTAAAAAAATGCCTACATTTTCCAAAAAACATTTTGAAGTAAATGAACAACAGTTAAAAATGACAATGATAGCAATGGATTTCCCTCATTATAGAAATGCATATTTCACTTTATAGGATATATGGACTCATTATTTAGGATTTTTTTAAGTATCCAAATTGATACTAGCTGAATAGCACTTATACTAGGGTGAAAACCACAATGGTTCTTCAATAAGTATTTCCTTCTTTTTATACCTCATAAGGAAAACTATCTATAAAATGAATCATAGTCATAGAATATCATAAAAATAAACTTTTAAAAATACAAATTGTGTTAAATGTTATGAAGGAAACCAAAAGGGTGCTATTGAGTAGAAGAGTAACTGAAATTTTCTAGTAATTCTTGCCTTTTAGCAGCATCACAATCCCTGAAAGGATTTATTATCTGCTGGGCTCCACCAGCAGAGATTCTGATTTCATAGGTCTGGGTCAGGGCCAAGAAATTGCATTTCTAATCAGTTTCCATGTAAGGCTGATGCTGCCAGTCCCATTACCACAGTTTGAGAACCACTACCCTAATATGAGTTCCTTAGAGAATGTTCTGAGGAAGGTGTTTATGGAATGCCGGGATTAACACATTTAAAAAGATCTTTCACTGCATGAATTTTTAGGGTTCTTAACATATATTTAATATATACACGTGGATCCATTCTGAAAAATGTAACATTAGGCAATTTTGTCTTTGTGTAAACAAGCTAGAGTGTAGTCACACAAACCTAGATGGTATAGCATATTGCTCCTTGGCTACAAACCTGTATAGCTTGTGACTGTACTGAATACTGTAGGCAATTATAACACAATGGTCAGTTATTTGTGTATTTAAACATATCTAAACTTAGAAAAGGTATGTAAAAATACAATATAAAAGATTAAAAATGGTACATGTGTATAGGGCACTTACCATGAATGGAGCTTGTGGGACTGAAAGTTTGCCCTGGATGACTCAGTGAGTGGTGAGTGAATGTGATGGCTTGAGACATGACTTCACACTACTGTAGACTTTATAAACACTGTACATTTAGGCTACACTAAATTTATAAAAAATATGTTTCTTAGAAAATATTTTTCTTTCTTCAATAATAAATTAACCTCACCATACTGAAACTTTTTTTACCTTATATTTTAAAATTTTTTTTAACATTTTTACTTTTTTGTAATAACACTTAGCTTAAAACACAAACACATTGTGTAGCTGAAAAATATTTTTTATATCCTTATTCTGTAAGTTTTTTCTATTTAAAATTTGTAAGTAGAACTTAATAATGTAATAATTTTTTGTACTTATTAAACTATTTTGTTAAAAACAAAGACACAAACACACACGTTAGCCCAGGCCTACACAGGGTCAGGATCATCAATATGACTGTCTTGCACTTTCACATTTTATCCCACTGGAAGGTCTTCAAGGGTGATAACATGTATGGAGCTGTCACTTCCCATGATAGTAATGCCTTCTTCTGGAATACTTCCTGAAGGACCTGGCTGAAGCTGTTTTATAGTTAATTTTCTTAAAAAAAAAAAACCTCTAAAACAATGATAAAAAGTATAGTATACTAAATACATTCACTAGTAACAGTCATTTGTTATCATTAAGTATTATATACTATACATAATTGTATGTTCTATCATTTTATACAAATAGCTGCACAGTAGATTTGTTTACCCCAGAATCACCATAAACATGTAAGTAATGTGCTGTGCTACAATGTTTTGATGTTCCTAGGCCACAATCTTATGGAACCACTGTTGTATATGTGGTCCATTGTTGACTGAAACATCATTATGTGGTGCATGACTGTATTTGTAAATCTTCAGAAAAGGAGCTGCTACATGCACTTGCCATATTTATTTGACAATGGTGAAATATTTCCTTTTCAAGAAATATTTGCCAAATCTGGTCAATTAGAACATACCTTTTGAAGTAAGAATATGATCAGTAGAATACATACATATTATAGATGAGTTATATCTGCCATTAGGGAATAAGAAGTAGTGGCAGAGTATTTCCCTGTCCTCATCAAATTAATTGGGAAACCTAATGGAACCTAAATGATACTAAAATTATATTTTTTTCACCTTTTTTATTTTTTACAATACTCAAGGGATTGAATAAAATTATAATTTTTTTAAGATGTGGAAACGAGATAAGGGAGAAGGCAGCTTTGACCTATACAATGAGATCAGACCATCTCTTCTCAAAACATCAGACAATTTCTAAGCTGCAAGGACTTGTAAGGACTTTTAACTAAAGCAATGAAGTTTGAAACTAAAGTTGGTCACTTTCCTTTGCCTCTTCCTCTTTAAATTATGTGAGTAAGGAATCATGTGCATGGCTTAATCATGGATTACATGATGTGACAAGTATATAGAATGTAAATGTGCTTTGAAAAGACAACACTGAGGTTTATTGTTTATTTAAAACATGCAGTTTTCCCATTAAAAAAATAAATAAAAACCTAAACCTTTTTTCTTTAGTATCAGTTAGGAAACATTTCAAGTAGAAGGTTTACACACACACACACACACACACACAACTCAAGTATATATATGTATATGTACATATATATGTGTGTGTTGTGTGTGTATATTAAATGTAACCACTTTTTTATAATTTCAAAATAAGCTCTCAGCCATGCTTTCTTTTCAAAAAAATACAATGAAATGAAATAAGAGGATGTGATGTGATAAGTCACAAAGTTGAATCGCAGATGATCCCTGCTTTAAAGGTTCTTCAGTGCAAGAGGTAACAAAGATAAAGGAGATATACAACGAGTTCTATCGTAAGACTGAACATTATGGACGCTCTTTGAGGTAAGATGGCAGGCATATTTCTACTGGGAGTGTGAGTTTGGGGGTGGCAGAGGAACCTGGGAAAGGACCTCTGAAAAGTGTATTTGAGCTGGCCTTTTAAGGATTGGGATATGCAAAGATGGTGAGTAAAGAGACTCTAAAATGAAACAGTGAGTGAGGGCTTGGAATTGAGTAAAGCAAGGGTCATAAATGAGGCAGTGAGCTCGTCAGTAGAGCCAGAGTATAAGATTCAAAACAGAAAGAGTAGGAAATACAGCTGGAAACAGTGGCTGATTGCCATGTCATGGAGGAACTTAATGTTAAGGTAAGATACTTGAACTATGTGGTAGCCATTCAAGATTTTAGACCATTACTTCGGGGAGAATAACCTAGAAAACTATGTATATACAGAGGGTGCCAAAAATGTATATACATTTTATGAAAGGAAAAAACTGTATTAAAATTGTAATACTCATGATATACTGATAACAAAAGATGAATACAAGTCACGTTTGACTTCTGCAATTATGAGGTACTCAAAGTGGTTACTATCAGTGTCCAGGCACTTCTGATTGAGGCAAACTTAATTTTGATTGAGGCAAACAATACATAGATAACATCTCTCAAAATGTGTATATATCCCGGCGTATATACAACAGATTTTGGGGGAGCATGAAGTAAAAATGGAGAAAGAAAGGCCAGGTAAAGGGATACTTACAAGAGACCAGGTTAAGAAATAATGAGATCATGCACTTGAGTAGTAACAGTAGGAATGGTAAGGAAGGGACAAACATGAAAGATGGATAATGGGTGATTTCTTGGCCACTTTACCCACCATGCACTTTATTCCTCAGTCAAATCAAATGTCTCCATTCTACAAATTGGATCTCCATAATTTTGCATTCAGATGTAATCTTCTAAAAACCTTTGTCAGACTCAGCTCCTCAGTTCATTAGACAGAGCTGTAATAGACTCTCAGTATTTATGTATATTTTAATTATATAAATTAATCAAACCTTATTAGTTTTTGTTATGATTATATGGTTCCTCCTCAAGGCTATAAGCTCCTTGAGGGTAGTGCCCATGTATTATTAACATTTTGCTCTAATCTCTGTTTTTTGTAACATTGAGCAAATAACATAGTCTAAAACATATTCAATAAATGTGGAATAAATAAAAAGGCAGAATGGGAGAGACTTGCAAGTTGAATGTCCAGAAGCTTGAAGGCCATGGACTCCT